TTTCTATTGGCACCTTTTGAGAGAGCATGTCAGTTAGAGCTAACTTTCTTTCAGTAAAATTTCTCAATTGTATTTTCAGGTTTTGATTGATCATCTTGCTTCTGGTTTGTGTTTCTTTTACCTGATGCCACATTTTACCTCCAGTTGGATTTAATACAATTTTTAAAATAACAATAAAAAAGAGTTTTATTTCTGAATACATGTTGACATGAAATAGTTTTGAATAACTCTAAGATACTCTGTTTCCAAAAGGAGACCTCTTTACCAAGGCTCTGCAGAGATCATTCACCTTCTGAGTTTTTTTATGAATATTATTGACAGCAGAATTTCAACCTGAACTAATCCTCAGAGTGAGACATTTCTTTAACCACTGAACCATGATGAGCAGCTAGGAAGTCATTATGCAAATGCAAATCAGGTCGGGATGTCAGTAGAAATTACCTCATTTAACCCTCATTGGATTATGATATACTTGGGTAAAAAAAAAAATTACATTTAATCACAGTGTTCTTCTGCTATTGAAAAAAAAAGTATTAATTCAGGCTTTTACAGACTTATATTGTGTGGTCTGTTGTTTCACTCTTTGAAATATCATTATGAGCTGCATTAACACCGAGCTCTTTATCCAACCACATAAATAAAACACACATGGAAAAAAAAACCATCTTGTGTAATCGTATCAAAAGATTTGGAATAGGTCTCCTAAAATATTCTTTTTGGCCCGTCACTGTAATATCTATTCTCCTTATTCACCCACTTGAATTAATAATCTTGAAAAATAATTTAATGGAAGGAAGGGTAGCCGTGCCACCCTCTCATCTATTGTTTTCATCGACGAGTCCCATTTTTCTTCTGCTGCATCCGTCCTTGTGGAAAGCCTCTTTTACTGATGTAAATCAGAGCACATCAGCAGGCTGAAAAAAGAAAGCCGGACTTCTTTCAGCTGATTCCAACATCAGGCTGCATCTGCGGCCACACAGGTTCATATACATGTTGAATTTTATAAGCAAGCTCCCATAGGAGATGTTAAAAAGATCTTTGAACAGAAAATGCAGAGATGATTATGATCTGATTTTCCTCAGGAATAAAAGAAAAGAAAATGCAAGTAATTAAAAGTCGCATTACATGGAGAAAGTTCACCTCTTTCTGATTTACAGATGACTTAAAAAGCGTTATTCCATGCAAGGTTTGATGATTAAAGTTCTTTAGAAAAACACTACATGAAACAGTTGAAATATGTTTCAATTAGTCGATGCAGTGGAAAAATATTCAGAGAATTTAGTATCATTTATCAGCTGTTTCTTTTTTATAATTTAGTATAGAAACATAATTGCATTGTTAGGAAAAGCTATATTTCATTCCTCTTTGAAAACTGATAAATGACAAGTATGTGGAATGCAATTAAAGTAATAATCCGTGACATTTTTGTCTAAATTGAGTTCCACGTCCTCATTTCAAGTCCGTTTACCAGAAATACGCTTTCTCCTTCTTTTAATAGCTTTTCTATACAACTATATACAGTACATAATGCACAGCAATTATTTGTCTTTCTGCCGACCTATATGGAGAAAATGATCAAAATTGAAATGATAACATCCCGGCACTAAAGCAACAATGCACAAGACTGAACAGCATTTTTCTGCCTTAATCGGCATGCTGCAAAGGCATGATTTGAGCAGGTTGATGGAATTTTTTTGCTTCAGGCGCACAGGAGAAATATGAAGGACTTTGGTTGTGTTGAAGGCTGTCATGTTTGTCCTTCTTGATTAGATTTTAAAAATGCAATTACAGCTATGTGTGTGACGTTCCCAGCACCAGCTGAATCCAGGAGACATGCTCAAAAACATAAAAAAAAAACACCCCCCCAAAAAAAACTTCTTCAAGGATCCCGAGCTGCATTTTTTTCACTTAATAAATTCACTTCAAAAAGGCGTCCAATGCTGAATTATGGAATTACAGAGCAGCTTGTGGAACCTGAAAAAAGAAAAACGGACTTGGCCTGTCACTAAAGATGAGCTTAATTCAATAAGCCTCCTGATTGAGGAAGAAACAGAAATCTTGGGGACGTGGAACCATAAAGTATCTACTCAATAGGAAAAAAAAAACAGTCTAACAGTTTTTCTTTTGAGTTCAAATTAGTATTTTTTATTAACCTTGTTTTGCCAAAATTGCCATTGAAATAAGAAAAAAAGACCTATCATGTTAAAAAGGAGGAGAAACCAAGAAATAAATGCAACATTGTGCAACAATTCTGCAATTTATTGGAGCTCGAAATATATGTCATAGTTTTATTCAATGGGCTTCTATTTTGCTTTAAGTAAACAATCTTAATCATTAGTATTATGTTGCCTTTTCTTTCAAATACCTGAAATAATTTTGATTTTCTTTCTTTCATAATATGTGATTTCATTTTACATGCAAAAGAAAATTTTGCATGGCAACAAAATGTTCTGTTGTTGCCATTTTGTCAACAAAAGAAAAAAAGCAAAAATTAGAAACTCATACAGTTCTTGTTGCAAATTCTCTTTGTTGAACATGAGCATGAGTGAACAGCTGTGTCTGGTAAAACCGTGTAAATAAATAAAATAAGAAAAAAAGAATCTCATGAGAAGGCTTTCAAATAATTTATTTCAAAACAATACAACATTTTCAAGAAATCTTCCCGCTCCTCTTGTAGAATGATGAATGAAATATGTAAAAATATTTGGCATAAAGTTATAAAAAAGGAGGGGATTAAAGGAAAGAAATGAACAATTTTTTATTGCAGTCAAGAAGAACACCCAACCATTTGGGTAAAACAGGAAAAATAATTAAAACATAAGTTAAGAGATCATCTTTCGCACTGTGCTCTCTGTTGTTTGGGATTTCTTCAATACAAAGACCACATTGCTGTTAAAGTGGTCATTAAAAGGATTAAAGATGAGAAGAATCAAACAATCTCATTTTTAACTTTTCTTTCTAGTAAGTAGCTTTAGCTTTGGCCTATTTGTGCAGCTTTTGCTACCATCAAAACAGCAGAAGCAGCAGCTGCACTCTTAAAGACAGCAAACACAGATCCACTTGTATGTCGGCAGGTTAAATGCAGCAGGCAGTTCTTGTTGCAGGCGCTGGATGATGTTCCTGTGTGGCGACACGAGAGCGAGAGGTTCTGTGCTGGTTCTTTTGTCCAGTTTGGTCATGTTTCCTCTAGTTTCTGTTTGTTCATATTCTGCATAGTAAAACCCAAAGTTTGCGCTCACTAAACAAACAGAATTGTGCTGAATTCAGAATGGAGAAGAATAGTGGAATGACATCTGTCTTTTGACTTTCAACTGAACATTTACATTGTTTGCTAACTCTGTCAGTGTTTTGTCTCTCCTGTGACTGATGAATTGTTTTTAAATGCAGGATGATTTGCGTGAAAGTGCAAAAATAATGACATTTTTATTTTTGGATTTATGACTATCCCGTTTTTCCAGTTTTTTCATCAACTTTCACAGCTTCTGTAATTTCAATGCAATTTTCAGACTCTGATTGCTCCTTTGCTTGAAGGTTAATCATAGTTACTGTGCGGCCTGTTTTCTCTTCTCCTCTACTCTTTATGCATTTAAAGAAAAAGTCATTTATTGAACAAGAAAAAAGAGATGGACGAGTTGTGAGAGGTCAGTAAACAGATTAGACTGCAGAGGTAAACACAACAAAGCAAACCTCTCTCTGCTGGACATTTAGCAAAACATAAAAACAAAGCATTTGTTTCTGTGAAAATTAATCTACTTTTTTTATTTTATGATGCTTAAACAACTTCTGTTGTTCATCAAACACCTGTTTAGCATTTTTGATGACGCATGTCAGGCGAATAATACAAATATTAGATTTATAACAAATATCTACAGATAAAAAAACCCTCATAATAAACACGTTCTAAATTACTTATCATCAACATGGCAGAATATTAGAATATAATTTTCTAATAATTCTGTTTTCATTGTGTGTTTGCATGCTTGTGTGTGCGTGTGTGAATGTGTGTGTCGTTGCAATACTCATGTCAACGAAACCGTCAAAAAAGTTAAACGTTTTAAGGGATGAGAAGTCCAGAAATTTATTTAACTCTCTGATTTCTCTGAAAGAATTTGTGTGACATTTTATTTGCACATTTTTCTTTAATAAATCTAAATTTAGTTTTTGCATTCATCTCCCCCTTCCTTCTGGTACCCCTAAATTAAATTAATGTTGATAATCAGGGACTGTATTGAGTCTCTGATTTTGTAACAATCCCTGCTGCTTGCATGGAGTGACATCAGACAGGCCATTATATAAGTTTTTAGCTTTACAGCAACCTGCCACACTGAGCATGACGAATACAGCAATTGTGAAGAACCAACAACAACTTTAAAGTCGCTGCTGATATCCACATGTTCAGGTGGGATAGTCTTGAGACTGGGCAATAATTTATCTTGTAACTTCAAACTTAGGTATTTTTGGAGAAGCTTTTATGGAAAGAAAACTAATAAGTTAAATCCAAAGTTTGCGACTGCAAACGTGAAGCTGGTCACTGATTGGTTGGAGGATGAATGAAGTTATCAACAAGAATCCTGAAAGAAAACCTTTCACAGGCTGCAAATGACTTGAAGGTTCAGAAACATACAGTCAGAGATACATAGTCTAAATGAAACATGTGAAAATCGCTTCACATATAAATCCAAGTAGCAGAACTCCAAAATTACTGTTCACAGATACTCACTCCCCTTTGAATGGAACTGAAGCAGACAAAGAAGGACGGACAATCAACAGCTGTAATCCAAAACGTCTGCAGCTGTAATGAAAGGTGGTTCTTCAAACCATTGCCTCGGATGGAGCAGTGAATAAAAATTCTAGCCATAATTTTCTTTAGAAAAACTATGTTTTATCTTTCTTTCATTTCAGAAATATGTGCTTTTTCTGGTCAAGAAAATCCCACAAAAAATGCACTGAAATTTGTAGTTATGTCACAAAATGTGAAAAATCTCAAGAGGTGTGAATACTCTTTTTCAGGGCTCTTTATTTGTACATCTTTATAACAATTGTAAGCACAGATGGCTTTTTTCATTTCAAATATTTTTACTTTCACAAAACGAATCATCGTGGGCAGGAGAACATTGTTGCTCAAACAACAAATCAGCATCGTGACAAACTGCCTCTGCACAGGTAGAAAATATGGTGGGGTGTGTTGGAAATTAAAATGAAATGTGACATTAAGAAACAATTTAGACACAAAATGTTTTGCTTTAGCACATAATCAGCATCAGTTCCAATTTTGTGACTAGAACAAAGGAAATGTGTAAAAATGTGTCTAAAAATGTGTCTTTTAATCATCTGATTATTATAGAATCAGATGCCAGAATTATTATTAATATTATTATTTTATTATTCTATATTTAAACATACATTTCTAATGAAACATTTCTTTCTGGTTCAAAACTGTCTCCTGTGCTCAGACTTTTAAATTCAGGGGAAGCGTTGTGCTTCAGACTGATCTCAAGAGGTAAATCCAAAGGCTTTAATTTACTTTTCAAAATATTTTTATTTTGTAGTGAAATAAAAGGAGAAACTATTATTTAGAAAAATATCTTTAAAAAATTCGAATGATTATTTTTATGGAATAAAATACTTCAAGCAGTTTTGATAAGCTCAATTAAGATTAATTTCCTTTGCAACAATTTTGTTTTTATGATAACAATTATTACTGCTATAACTTTTGTTTTTGATAAATTGACAATCTGTTGATCTGATATCAAAGTTGTGAAGATAGCGCCGTTTTGATTTTTAATTAGGCAGCACAGCGCCCCCTTCTGGTATTGAATTAAGCAGGATTTCCTGTAGACCAGTGAATGATTTTTGATGTTTTATGTATGTCCTCATTGATCTATGTCCTAAAAAAGAAAATAAAAATGAGCTGATAGATAGATCCAATTTAGAAGAATTTCTTTTTCTTGTTGCGGAAAAATTGGATAAACAAAATTCTCACTCATATAGCAAATCATCTCTTTTCAAAGTCAAGGACTTTTTTTTCTACGAACAATGCAAAAGTGTCTTTATATGCTGTGGAAAGTGTGAAGGTTCAACCCCAGGGGCTTTCTGTGCATTTCTGAACAGTGTTCAAAACATAAGTGGATTTTTATTTTAAGTTGGGTTTTTTTTTGTTGTTGTTTTGTTTTTTAGAAAAAGAGACAAAAACTTAGAATACTATAGCTTTTATTATTATCCAGTTTTTACTTTTCTCATTGATACAGCTTCTCTAACTACACAATGTCCTTATTTTTATGCTCATTATGTTCAGAGTTTTGGATAAATTTGACAGACCAAGTGACCGGAAGCGAGGAAACTGGGGAGCAGCCGATTTCTGACATTGATTTGGGGTTTTTTTAATTGATGGATGAAGAATTGTTCATTTTGGTCAAGGAAAAAATATATAACAGCATAAGCTGTTAAATATAATGTTATATGATAAAAGAGCCACCATATGACGTACAACACTAGATCAAAGCAGCCCAACAAACACATCCATACAATGATGATGAGCACATGAACAAATTACTTACAGACAGTTTAACATTGCTATAGAACCAAGTTATCAGCAATGAGAAATAATGAAGGTGTAACTTGAAGTCCTGGGCGCTACAAGATGCACATCTCTTCTTCGGCAGCTTCTAAATGTAGGAGGCAAAAAATGTAAACACAACTCAACAGAGAATATTCACTGTTTAATGTTTTTGTTTTATTTTGTAAAATAAATATATACAGAAAGAATTGTATTTTTTTAGAAAGTCTTATTAAAGCATAAAAAAGTAATTTTATGAACTTTCACTCTTCTTCAGAGTGAAAATCTGTGTCAATTACATTGCAGCTTTTAGAACTAAATGGTCAATTATTAATTGAGGTCTTCCAAAGATGGATATTTATGTTTATAAATCGCTATATATGACAACCACTAGATATAGATAAGTTATTTAAATAACTGAGGGAAAATTATGTCATTAATTTATTGTTTTACCATTTGGTGATTTTGCCCTAAATCATCAAGTCAGTGTGAAGAACAAAGATTCTTGACTTGTAATGAGTTGAACATTTTGATTTTTAAAACAAATGCAATAGAAAATATTGTTGTTTCTGTAATATTCAAGACAGTTGGCAAACAGCAAAGGAGTATGTAGTCACAAACATTGCTAGGGGGGTTTGCCACTGATTTAAAGAGAAACAAAACCATCAAAACAAAAGTTTAGGGTTAGTGAGGAACACCTCAGTTTCCAAATTTTACATTCTGACTTAAATTTTGGTATCAGTTTTTGGAGGATAATTGCAAACAATTAAATTGGTCGTCAGCACTAAGCAGCCAACATAGGCCTTTTGTTTACATTGTTGCATAATTAGAAACTTCTCAAAGTGAAGAGAATGGGGGAAAATAATTAAGAACTCCAAGTAGGCAGTGTTACTTGGAAGTGGACAGTAATTATAAAAGGTGTGAGAAACTCTGTTTTAGAACAAGTCACACCTTGTGAGTGTCAACGTCTCAAGTCATGCTAAGTTAGCATAAGCAGCTTCCTCAGACAAATCAAGGACTGATAAGACACTGGAAACACAGAAGCCACACATCAGACATGATTTTAGATAAACCAAGCTTCACAGTTTGTCACTCACATTAGACACTGCGACAATGAAGCGTTCACAGCACAAACCGTGTGGTCATGCAGGGAATCACCTTCAAAATGTAATTTCTCCTAACCATCCGTGTGCTTCAAATGCTTCATTAAAGTCGTCAGCTGGGTGATAAAAGGAGAGAAACAGGAGCTGAAACACTGGCATCGAAATAAGGACAACAGTAAAACACCTGAATGCACACAAGAATTTAATGTTCATGCAAACATGATGTCGACTTTCACAATGAGCCAATACAGACACGCACAGATTCATTTGCGATAAAGATGTATAAATTATATTTCATACAAGTCCAGTTTTGTCTTCTTGCAAAAGTTATTTGGGATGTTGAAACACTGACGTTTTCCTCTTGAACAGTAAACAAGACATTCAGTTGCAGATTCAAAATATAAAGCTCATCGCGAAACACAAAGTTTTACCACGCTGTAAACACTTTACAAGATGCATTGCATTGCAGCAATCACTTTCAAATAAATCTCTACATGTGAAACTAAATCTAAAGTGCCCTGTGAGCATCATTAGATTGCGTACTTTTATAGCAAGCAGCGGGTTGGTTCCAGTCAGAGAGGTTCGCAGTTGATCATTCAACAACACGCTTTGAAAAAAAATGGCAAACACATTCAAACACTTTACAGCATGCATTCAGATTAGAGTAAATCTGACCATAATAAATATATGGGGGTGTTAAAAATGGTAATCAAAAATAAAATGACATAAAAAAAGGTGAAAAACTTGAGGTTGAATGTCAGTTGTCTGGCTGCCATCTTCTGAAGCACCAGTAGATGGCAGTAAGATAAAGCAAAACACTCCCCAACGTTAAGAACAGTGGTAGACTCTTTGGCGATATTCATGAGAAACTAAAATGAATGAAAACAATTCATAAGATCAAACAGAGAATTACCACAGTGTCAGTAAGACGCAGCTCTGCCAGCATCTCCAAATAATACATTTATTAAGAATAAAGCTGTGATACATTTATTAAGAATAAAGCTGTGATGGCTGCCAACACGAAAGCAGACTGTTTATCCAAGGTGACAGTTTATCGCTACGTGGACAAAACGATTCTCCAAAATAAAGTGCATAGAGTTCATGAGTCATATCTCTAACCACAACACTCGTAGGATTTCAGAAACAGCCATTGACTAGGGCAAATCTACAGTAACGTTGATTAGACTAAATCAGTTTAGTGACTACAATCTACTGATTCTGATTTCAAACCACTTATTGCATTTGCTCGCCTCATAACTGATCAGTTTTCTCTTCTTTGGCTGATGTACAGACACATCCAATGCTTTTACAAATGAGTAAACATCAAAATCCTGCTTCCATGCATGTAGAAGTAATGATAGCAATTCAATCAGTGTGCACCTGGTCCACTAATTTAGTGGTAAGATGGAGAAATGTTCAACATTAAAACAGTTCTTTGCCCATTGAGAAACTAGATGAGCCTGTGCCCGATCTGCTCTTGCAGCCAAAGCAGTACAGGTTGCAAGGTGCTCGGCTCATCGGGAACGGTCTCAGTGTGCATCTGCAGCAGAACCTCTTGTAAAACAAATAACAGGGGTAAGCTCATGCTCAGTAGCTCATACAGTAACGTGTAGTCATGGGCGTTATCTCTCAGGTGGCTGGCGAGGGCCTGTGCTGCGCCGCGAGCGCGATGAGACAGATACCAGGGGGCGTTGCAGACAGCGCGCGTCACACTCAGCGACCAGTTCAGCTTTTTCTTTATGAACGAAGTGCAGGTACCTGCCTGGAGAGCAGGCAGGCTCTCCAGCTCTGCTGAACTGCTGGACTGGGAGCTCTCTGCGTCTGCAGCAATTCGATCCCGAGCTCGATTCCGATTCTGAGCGAGGACGACGTACAGAGATGTTGGGTCATTTTACCGTGCGATTGTTAAAAAGATTTAATAAAAATCGATTGATGTTGTACTCACTGGAGGTAGAGAAAAAGTCCTTCGCAGATTCGTCCCATTGTTGCGCTGATGAAAATGAAGCTTGCAGTAGAGTTTTCCTGCAAAAGTAAAAAAAAGGAAAAAAAAAGTAAAAGATGGTTAAAGAAAGTTGATCATAATAAACCCTGAAAAAAAAACACACACAAAGACTGGTACCTTCTTCTGAGTTGAACGCATGCGCTCCCTGTGGGAGAGAGCAGTTGCAGGTGGAACACCGGAAACATTCCCGGTGGAAATAGACCCCCTCAGCACAGACCCTCTCAACCATGTAAACACGCTTGGAGCAAGAGTAGCACTTGTCAGCCGACTGGGAAAACGTCCTTCTTATCGAACTTCCCTGTAAAACAGAAGTAGCAATTATTTCACATTTTTGGAGTCGCTAACATATATGTTAAAGGAAGAGAGGTCAGCCATCAGAGGATGCTCAGTGGCTCTGCAGGGTTCAGGTCTGATGCTGACGTGAATTTCTGGATTATAGCTGATGGTGGTGTTTCTCTCCAACATCTGGCTGTTCAGTTAAACAAGGCTGTTTGGGTGGAGCAGAAAAACCCACAAAGTGCCACCACACGCTTCTCCTCTGAGGGCTGCTTGTAATTAAAAACAGGGGGGAGCTGGAAGAGCACTTAAAACAGGCTCTCAAAGAAAAGCAGAACTTTTGCATGTCATTTTTATATGAAAATTATAAAACAGCAGTCATGCAGACACACCAATGCTTCTACTTAAACATGCGTCGATTCAACACTGCTTATCTCGAGATTATAAAATTTGTTGTTGTTGTTTTAGGAATGTAAACATTGTGAACACACACACTGCGTGGGAATATATATGAGTGAATAAAATGAATTCATAATTGAGAAAACAAACAAAAGCATGCTGGCATTCAAAACAAGCGTGTCTTCACACAGTTTACGAAAGTCACCTGGAGAACGTGAGGACTGTCTCCTGAGAAAAGTCCACTAAGGTGAACAGCTTTTTCCTTTATGCTCTTTGTCTGAAACTCCCTAACTTGTTGTGTTTGGGCTTTTTTCTACAAGATGACAAAGGGAAAATCAACAGTCTTCACATTCACCCACAAACAAACCAGACAGAGTACTAACTCCAAACACCTGTGTGGCCCTGAAAGAGTGTATATTATCAAGTAGAAAACAATAGTCATCCTGCATTCAGCAACATATTGGTTACTTTAATTTTAGACCTCACACAAAGCTTGGCTACAGCAGATCACATTGGTTGAGTTAAAGTCTCAGTTCTGTCATGTTCTGTTTCAGGAGTTGTTGAGTTTTCTGTAGCAATTGGATGAAAAAGATATAAATCAGAAAAAGAGAGGCGGAAAGCTAATAGATAGTCAGATGAACCTTCCACTCAACTGGTTTGGGTTATTTAAAGCAATTCTGATTGAAAGTATTTCTATGATTTACTTACATACCAGAATAGATATAAAACATCTAGACTTTCACATATAACTTTTTGTCTGTCGCTGTACTAAACTGCTGTGTGCATCTCTGACCAATCATGTTAAATTTTAATTTATTAACTGCTTTCAGGCACTGTGCTAAGCTATCACATAGAGTAATTTTCAACATGACTACAGAGTTTATATTTATGACATTATAATGTGTTCTATCTAAGCTTAAATGTTGTGTTTTCATAATCTGTAAGCAGAAAATCATCACAACCAACAGAAGTAAAAGCTTGGAAAATCATTGTGTGCGTATTTAATCCATAAAACGTGTTTCACTTTGTGATGGAGTTGCTGATGATGATATTTTTAATAATATTACAACAGTTGTTATAACAGTGAAACCCAATGTTCACTAGTTACTACTAATGTGATGTTCCAACAAAGCAGATAAACAAGTTAAAAGATGAGGAAAAAAAACTGCATCCATCAACTGAAAACAGATAAACGATTGAAAGTTATCTCTTTGCACACTGAATGGAAAAGATCAAATTTATATTTTAATAGGCGATTTCTTAACGTGTGCAAAAAGTCTTTACAACATTTTAAGATGAAAAAGGGAGCAAATAATAATAATAAAAAACAGTATTTTTTTTTAAAAGGAATGATTTCTTGGCTTTCTTTTTTTGAGGAATAGTTGCATAAATATTTCAGTGAAAGCAAATTAAGAAATGTTGGTTCCACTGGTACAAATTGCACTGACAGAGGCAAACATAGATAAAGTCTGCCAACATGTCCTTACATGAGGAGCTTTTGGCTGTTGTAACTGTAAGAGTAAAATAAACTCGAGCCAAGTTTGTTGGCCTGCTCCGCATTTCTGGAAAGCTGGATAATTGGGGGCTGACTTCATCTGACTGCATGTTACACAAGCCAAAATGTATAATGGGAACATAATATGCAGTCATCATTCACTCTGGGGCCTTTTTGGGAATCGGAGCGTGCAGCACAGAGGAGAAAACAGACAGGCAAAGCAGGAGAAAGTGTTCACCTCAGATGCGTGTTCGTCCACCTCTCTGAGGCGATGCAGAACTCTTGTCATGAAACAGATAGCAGAGCGGCAGGACGGAGGAGATGTGGGGGGCTCAGGACTCTCACGCTCAGGCTGGGGCTTCATCTCAGTGAGAGTTTGATCGACATGTCTGAGCTTCACGACTAAAAATGGATGCAGGGGCTGAGGACGGAGTTGGGGTTTTGGCAGAGTCTTTGGAGGAAGGTTGGCTAACTGTTCAGCCGCTTTTCTGATACTTTTTTCAAACTGAAAGGTACAGTAGACATAGTAGCTCCTATAAATCCACATCTAAAATCACTGAGTGTGTAGATTATTAAAACATAAACAAGCAGGTGGTTCTCTACAGTCACAAAAAGCTGTATGGAAATTGATCAAAAATCAATATGAATTGCCAATGTTTTAATTGTGGAAACAGACACTGCTATCCTTGAAATGCATTTCAGGACATTTTTCCTGATTGTGGAAAATCAGGAAAAATGTCCACAATTGATTCAGTCTTTATTTTCTGTTTGGGGTTATTCTCCAATGACAAATATATATATATATATATATATATATCTAAACAGATAAATCTAAATATTTGATTTCATGTACTGATGAGTGAACATAATCAAAAGATTAGAGACTTTTTGGGGGCTGTTGTGCCACTTGAATGTACCTGTGTCACTGAAGAAGGCTTAGGTGGGACCGAAGATCTGATCGTAACAGGCCGAAACTCAATCTGATTAAGATTAGGGACCATCAAGACCGTCTCACAGTCTGACTGCACGAGGTTTTGAGGAGGATTGGAGAAATGTTAGTGAAAAAGTGCAGGAAAGACAAAAGAGGAAAAGAGTCATGCTAGAAATAAGAGTTTTAACATTTGAACGACAGAGCACAGTTTAAGATTTTGCAATTAAGCAACTGAGTTCACGATTAGAAAATAACCTTAAATGTGTAAAAATGTATATCAGACGCTCAAATTCCCTAGAATGAATTTTAAAACTGTGTATTCTTAAATACTTAAATTAGTTACACAACAGCAAAAACATTGGAACACATCAGACATGTTATATTGTTTTACCTGTGTTTTTTGAAATGTGTAGCTGTTCTTGTTTTCAAACTTGGCCTGTAGCTGCGAAGCCATTGAGCGAACTTTGTTTTCTTTGGGCTCCCGTTCGTGTTGGTCTGAAGACCCATTACTACGTATGTTAGTGGCCTGAAGAAGAGCAGAGAAAAACCCCCCTCAGAAATACAGTAAAATAACAAAGTGCATGTGCACTTATACACCAAACATTGTGTTCACAAACCTCCTCCAGATGGAAGAATCTTCGCCTCCTTTTGTAAACAGAGTCTGTACCGTCCGACTTCTTCTCATCCTGAAAACGGAGCACAGCGGAAAAAAATGACACCCTGCCGCAGCGCCTCATTCACAAAGAAAAAGCCCTGAGCAAACACACCAGATGCTTTTTAATGTGGACGGACACATTTAAATGAAAATGAAAAAAATAACACAAATCTGTACAGTACTGAATTGTGATTTGTTGCTGGAGGAAAACATATGCAGCCTTTTAAGCTCTGTATGTGAGGGACTTGCTGTTGTATCGTTTCGTAATTATAAGGTTCATAGTACGAACATAAAACTCCACAAGAGAATTTCACAACATCTAACATGATCCTGACAGAATGGATTACCTGAATTATTTCAACCAGCAGCATTCACTTATTACTTATCCCTTTTCTAACATGCGTGTCTTCTTTTTAACGTACAAAGGAGTTTTGTCTTCTACCTTGAAATTACAATCAACTGCTTCAAAGTAAATATGTGACATTAACTTATTTGAGAATTGGTTGTCATTGCTCTGAAAGTAATCCATAAAAATATACGTCAGTGTTTCCCACAGATGTATCCACAATATCTCATTTAAATGTGAGCAGAAAGCAGCTATTTACTTCGCAGCATGCAGTTTGAGACGCAGGACGACCTTTCTGAGGGTTTTATTCTTTAGTGGATCAACCAACGATGTAAAACAGGCACAATTGATGAATTCAAATGCAACTCAACCACTGAATAAAATAAATCAATATGTAAAAAATGTACAAAAAGTAGAAATTAGCATAACTAAAGTTGTTTTTAGTACAGCAGATTAAACATCTCTGTTACCTTTGGTACCCGCTTCCTTGTCAGTGCAAGATTGAGATCTTTATTATTAGCTTTGACTTCCTCTGAGGGATATTCTTCATTGTTTTCATCCACTCTTCTGGAATCTGTGGTGTAGCAAGAAACACGGAGTAGAGTAAATTAGAAAAGCTTTCCATTTATAAAGCATATTGAATGAAGCAATAGGACGTGTCTCAAGAGCCTGTGTTTGTGCAGAGAAATGTTTCACTTTAAAGAGCACTTTAGTTGAAACATGCATGCAATCAAGACTCACACAGTACTTGACGGCACAGTTTCACTACACAACAACATTCTTCTCAAGCCACTACACACCAGATGCTTTTTAAAGGGCAGAACTGCAAAACGTCTGTAAAATGTATTTTCTTTTTCAAATGAAGAAACTCGGGAACAGAAACAAACAGTGAGAAGAATGTAAACTCCAGGGGATTCGAAACAGAACCACGTACCCGACGAAGGAAGAGGAGTCCCACGGAAAAGCTCGTAGAACTTCGATAAGTAAGCAATCATCCTGGTTTTGTCCAGTTCCTCGCCAGCGCTCAGGTCCAACGCAGAAGTGAAAGGGCGAATCCCGAATTCCCGATCGCTGATGTCGAAAGCTTGCTGGAGGTTCGCAGTGTGGTCTTCCTCATTTAAAGAGTCAAAGTCTCTGATAACAACAAGGAGAAACAATAAATTAAGCTAAAAATACTTGATGACACAGACACTGAACATTTAGATAAGACAGTGACATTTTTATCATAATACTCTTTGAGTTTTATAAAACTTCCTGCTACTCTTGGTTCTCATTTACCCCCCAGTCCCAGTAACCCATTTACCTGTGACCTAAATATCCATTTGTCCATCCAGAAATAACCAGACAGGAATGTGGCAGCAAGAAATAGAGACTCTTTGAAGGAATTATTTGCTGGCAAATCCTTCATTTCTGCACGTCAGGTGACTACTGCTGAGCGAGGGTGAAATAACGCTAACATGGGGAGTCAGTGCGAGCACAACGGCTTTGTTTAACACAGAAGCATATTTTTACTAAAACTTAGTTTTAAAAGAAGCTTAAAGCTGCAAAAAAAAAAAAATGACCAGTGACAGACACAAAAGAGACCCTGATGTGTTTTATGCAAATATGGTGTGTAGACGGCAGCAGGAGAAATGTAAAGAAGCGAGCAGTAACCTAGCAGCAACACAAACAAACATCAGTCTTTTTCTTTTCAGTGTGAACCTGCTCCCCTCCCTGCCGTGTGTGCTGCTGACAGGTCTGCAGATAGGAGAACAAAAACGGGACGAATGCCAGAAGTTTCTGGAAATTTATAAGTCCACCAAAAACTCCAAGCGCTTGTGCCAAAGAATGAAGGCAGTAATTAAAGAGCCGCATGGATATATTTAGGTTTGTAAATGCACTAATCTACAGTTGCACCGGTACAGTTTTTGTTGTTTTGTTTTTGTTATAAAGGAGCTGGTTTTCTCCACAGTTCCTGAATTAGACTCAGAAAGGGAAAGTAGCAGAAAGAAATCTCAATATTCAGGTTTTTTTGCTTTGTTATTTTTTTTTTTAAATACAAAACTGAGCAAAACTTTCATCAGAGAGAAACATAAACCTTCATACTGCACAGGCCAAAAGTTTGGAAGCCAAGTTAAATTTGAATAAAAAAGATCATGTAGTTTGTAAGCTTTGCAACAAATGAAACCTCAAAGATAATCAGGTATTTGTTGTGGGGTTTTTTTTGTCTTCCTTAAGTTTTGTGACCTCCTCTGGCAACAACATACCACAAGCTGTGATTTGTTTTTACTGTAGCACATAGACTGTGATTCTTCTGAGTCCTCTGAACCCTAAAGTTAAACACTTCTTTTCTGATGTTAGTGCTTCTTCAGGAATAGTTTGGTAACAACAGTATAAGTCTAGAATAAATTGAGAAAAACTAAGGTCAGTTCTGATCATGCAGCAGAATTTAGAGTTGCACAATATTATTAAAAGCTGCATTTTGCATCATATTGATATTGTATAATTTTCTTACTCTTCTTTGACCCTTTTGTTTTATCTTAATGCCTACAGAATTTTCAATGCTATGTATTTACATCTTTGGATATCAAATATACTAATAACATACAAATAAAAAAAATGACCTTTCCAAACCAACTGTTACTTCTACCAATCAAGTATTAGGATATTAGAAAGTCTTGCGAAATTTGACATGCTTAACTTTATCACCTAAAAGACGTGGTTAAATTAATGCTTGCCTGCTTTTCAAACTATGCAATAAAAATTTAAGAGTGGTTTAAAGTCCAAAACCGCAGCCAAAGCTGGGGCTACGTACATCAGCTGGGGTTTAAATCTGTGAATGAGGGCACACAGGGCGATGCCACTTCTCCAAGACGACGCCAGGTCTGTGATGGAGACATTCCTGTAGCCCTCGGTCTGTTTCTGGCACCAGGACAGGAGCCGCGATGGCCGGATCTCAGACTCTGCAGAAGAAACATGAAAAAAGGAGAAAAAAAATGTTAGAGAGACACGGATCAGAAAATTACGTAATACCAGGGTAAAAGGAACAGAGCGCTTATAAATAAGGAAGTGAAGCCTGAGGTGAACGTATGTGTCAGAAACTGATTGTTCAGGAAGTGTGAAGAACGTGTTATTTATCATCAGAAACTGTAATATGTGTTTGTCTGCCATTTGTAAATAATTCCTCCTTAGACTAAAGTTTATGCATATTATTATGTAATTATGTTTAAATAGGAGCCAAACAAAGACAGAGAAACGATAGCAACATTCCTCATAGAATCCCTCTAAAACAGAGCAAGTCTTATCAGTAAAATCACCGCCCTGAATAACAGTGAGGTGAGTCAGCGGCTGCCGGTTTGACTCCTCTTACATTTACCTCGTCTGTAGAGATTGACAGGCCGTCGTATGGTAGCAGCACGCTCCAGGGAGCAGGAATTTAGCTCTCCAGTGACGTACAGGTGACGCACCTAAAATAAAAGACACATCATAGTAAAAATATGTCCATGTTTGGAGAGTTGAGGTTAAAGAAAAAGAGCTTACTTGATGAGGTCTAACGCATGAGGAGTTGAGGTTGGGGAAGCGGGTTGAAGGGTCTATAGTGTACTGGTCAAAGTTTTTGGCAATGTTTTCAGGAGTAGTTTGCGGTAGAAGTCGGTAAATACTCTCCCTAAATTACACATAGAAAGTAATTGGTTCATTTAGCAAAGATGAACTTGGCAGTAGTCAAAAACACCATGAGAAAGTTTCAGACAGAATGCGCATGCACCTTTCTGCCAGAACTTCCAGAACCGTCCGGCCTTCAGCCCAGCTCTTTACCATCCAGGCCGTATCAAACGCAGCCAGGAAACCTCTGGCACAACCAGTCCCCATTGGCCAGAAGGGCTGCAACAAAGCAAATCCATTAAATACTGCATAAAGATGTGACAAAATACAACTTTTCAACTTATACTTGTTCATTCAGTGGCATTTTGACATTTCCAAGAAGTAGTAGGGAAGTAGTAGGGCTTGATTTAGAGTACCGAAATATGCAAAACAAAAATGCTCTTGATGCATGATTGGGTGTTATTTGTTAATGATGTTTCAAGAAGATAAATCATATTTGATCACCACACCAAAAATGATGGATTATGATACCATTCCTATGGGAAAAAAGGAGAAGAGTAAAATCTTTTTATTTTTAAGTTTTCAAGCCTGTCTGAATTTTAAAAATGTGCTTTTTCTCCTCCAGTAGTTGCTATGTTTTGCTTTGCCGTGTCACATACCATAGATCTGACTTCAGAGTAAATATCTCAGACATTTTTTAATAACCATTGCGTGTAAAAGCAGACAGACTTCCTGTACATGTTCCTGCAGGCAACTGTAACATCTGAAAAGCGGCACAAAAAAACACTACATGAATCTGCTGACGACAACAGGATTAACTGAGGGGGAAAAAATTAGGTAAACCACTCACAGGCGGGCATATAAAAGACCCCACCCTCTATTTTAGAGACATCACCCCAATTTATCTGGCAGAGATCATTTCAGACTCAAGTACTTATAATTTAATGCATTTCTCAAGCTCTCAGCATCTGAAGTCAGCCTGTTTTGCTCCCTTACCTCCAGCAGACTGTCACCAACCAGCGCCACCAGCAGTTGGTGTCCGGATCTCTCCCTGACCAGAGCGGCGTTCTCAGACGCATGCATGCTTGTGAAGTCAAACATGGCCACATCTGGCTGCCCGCAGTGATTCATGGCGTAATCGAGTGTGGGAAGTTGATAGTTGGTGCCAAAGTCAGCAGCTTCTCGGGCGTAGCTCAGAAGGGCTTCCTGGTTGACATTTTCGCTGCTCAGCAGCATCTGAGTGTCCATGTAATCCTGGTTACATGGAAATGAACAAGAGAAGAATCCAGAAAATGAAGTCTTAGCTTTGTGCCAGTCACAAGGTTTCCACATTCAGCGTGTACCGTGGTTTCAAAAGGCTACAGTTTCAAACCCACCAACTTGTTGTATTACACCTTTTGGGTAAGTTAGACACTTTTCACAGGCATGCCAAAGTCAGTCCGGTTGTGTTCCCCATGTGGAGCACAGGTTGTAACATTTCTCCTCTGCCTGTGTTTATTGTGAGCCATCAGTCAGCTGTGTAGGAGGGGGAAACCACCCAGACTTTTGTCTTGTTAAAGAAAAGAGGTTTGCTCTTTGCAAATTCAACCAGAACACACCGCAATCACGACTCTGCTACTGAAGAAGCTCCACAGAACAGTCTGTCTGATTCTGTTTCAATGATGCTTGAAAACAAATACAACACCATCAAAATTAATACAGATGAAAACACGGTTCACTTACATTGATCACAACTTTTTTGTCCAGCAGACTCTGTTTCTTTGCCGTCATGACAAAGTAATGTGTGTTGTCCTTGTAATAGACAATGTTCTCCAGATCAATGCCTGCAGAGAGATATCAGCATCTTAACACTTCACACTTTTACAGTTCACAAAACAATTCCCTTTAAAGGCTAATTTTTGTCAAACGATAACAATAGTCAACTTTAACTTATCAGTCAAAATTGTTCATTCATAAATCTCAAATCTCTATGTTATTTTTGCTGTGTTTTTTTAATTTATTTTCCATTTACAGAATCCCATACATTTCTAATAAATCACAAAACAAGCTAAAAAATAAATCTACACTATTGATCAACCCAGCTTGGACCAGGTGTTTAATTTGTACTAAGCAGTATTTAATCAACCAAGTTTATTTGTATAGCACATTCAGAAAGAAGGCAGTTCAAAGTGCTTTACATTATAAAACACAATGAGAAGTCATAAAAACAACCTACAGTCAACAACTGAGAAACCAGAGACAAACGTTACATTTTGACATCTGGTGCCATCATCAAGATTAAGGTCAATTTAATCTGTACATTTAATATTCTGCCTATCCTACCTGTCTCCTCTTTGAGGTCAAGAAAGAACTTCTGGTTGAAAATGAAGGCCACTCCGCTGATCTCCTCCACTTTCGCCTCCGCAGTTGTGTTCCTGTTGATGAAGTTGGCTGTGATGGCGATTGCCAGTTTACCTCTGAACTCTTTCCTTTTGAAACCTGGTAAAAACACACACACACACACACACGCGCACACACACACGCACACACACACACACACACAGAGAGAGAGAGAGAAAGGCAGAGACAGTTAACTGGGAATGCTAGAGAAAAATTAGGGCTATTAACTCATCTGTTTAAACCAAAAGCAATCCGACCTCAAACCATAATGACAGGGCATTTATTTTTGGAGAAGCACTTTAGAAAAGGAACAGAGGTCATATTCTGTAAGAAGCACATGGAGTTGAGTGAAAATAACTTCCGTGTAGTAAATAATATTATTACCCAAAGTAATCAAAAGTATTTAAATAAGATGTTTATTATTGTTTCACAACAACTTAAAAGATTTACTGCTTACAACAGGAATATGCTTGACGGGAAACTAAACAAAATTAGAGACTTATGCAAGTCTCTGCTGCATTGTCCCCAAAATGTCATTTGACTGTGCTTTCCCAAAGGCAGCAGCACTGAACACGTCTGATTGCATTTAACTGTGTTACCATAAGCAGGCCACAAAAGCAGCACACAAGCAAGCGGTCTGCAGTAAAGAAAGTAATTTCCCCTCTGGGTTCTTCATGATTACAAAATGAGCTAAACATTTCATTCTGGTTCAAAAAGTCCTTTTAAGGAATAAGCATTTGATCCAAATTAGTTGTTCGATGACAGCATTTTTAGAGAAAAACTGAAAACAGCACAGAGTTGGAGCTGCTCCATCATGAATGGATCAGCCTTGCTTGTATTTATATTTAGCAGTCCCCAGCGGGAGAGATAGATGACTTCATCCAGGCGCAAATGAGAGCAAGAGTTTAATCTTAGGCAAGAAAAAATATACAATAGCATGTTAGACTTGAATCATCCCTCATTGTTTTCTGTTTTGCCTCCAAGGAGACAGGTTTTCTTGTCATCTTTTTGAAGAGCTCTAACTCAGTGTCATTAAGTAATATTTGAAGCTCTAACAGAGGCTTTTATTTGACTTTTCCCACTCATTTTATGTCCAGAACAAACAGATCTGTGGATGAAGCTTTGCTTTTATTGTAAGTTAAACCACTTTGCTTATGTCCCCCACTTTTTCTGAAAATGTGACGTTGAGATGTTTGTTTACTGCAGACATTTCTCCTTTGTTTTGAAACTTTATTTATTTGTTGGACTGGAAAGAGTTCAAATGTTAGACAGTAATAAGAAAAAGTCCTGAAATGTCTGTATAATATACAGAATGTATATTTAGAGTTTGATAAATTATGTGCAAAAATATGTTCTTCATATTTAGTTACATTATGACTATTAAAACTTCTTATGGAGGAGATTTAATACTGAGACGCAGAGCTGTAATTATTATTATTTTTTTTCCTTTTTGCCTGCTTCAGTGTTTCGGACAATTAAAAAAACAATAATGTCAGACAGACGGTAACCTGAGTAAAGACAAATGCTGATTTCTTAATTCATGTCAAAAACATAAACTAAACCATTTGGTCATATTCTAAATGTAATTGAGTCACAGAGTCACAAAGCCTAAAGCACAGTGAGAACCATTATATCAAAATTACTCCAAAAATGCATCAATCACCCGGGAGGCAGAGACTGACTGCAGGCCAGTACCAAAGTCCAACTTCTATAAAAATATTTACTTTTAATAATCTTTCCTGATTGGACGATTCCTGCTTTGAATTAGTTTTTATCCTTTGTCAGCTATTTCAATAGTGGAGGATCTGGGAGTGGCACCAGATTCCAGTCATCCATCAACGAGTTCTTGTCATATTTAAAAGTGCAGAACACAACCACAGCTTCCTAAACTATCCAGGCCTTTTGTTTCCCTGCATCTCACCTTCCAGCGTGTTTCTCCGCCCATCGGCCCCAACCACCACATCAAACTCAAAGCCAGCCACTGGGTGATCTGCAGGTCGGATTGCGGCCCTCCACCCAATCGCTGAAAAGACAAAATGCAACTGGGAGTGTTGGGTAAATCCATGCACATATACACAGGTTTTAAATCAAATTATTCCCCCCTTTGTGACGTAAAGAACATGAGGAACATCGCACTATCTGGACTGTCCTTGTTGGACGGTCCTTGTTGTTACTTTGAAGCTTCATTAAATTTGTCAAATCTGGCATGACGGGGAAAAAATGTAACAACTGCACAATTAAAGGCTTAAATGTGGATATACTTCTCCATTTAAAAAAGACAAAATGTTGCAGCAGACGTGTTAGATGAGAGTAGGTGTTGCTTTCCAGTTTGTTGTGAAATAGTTTGTGTGTGGAAAATACCGTCCACAGAGTCAAGGGCACAGCTAAGTCAGTCACAGTGGAGCAGGAGGGATAAGTCGGGCTCTAAATTTAGCCAAAGCTGGTGTTGTTATCGCCACGTCGATATGAAAACTGAACTGACACCTCCTGACTTATCGTCCGCTAAGTTGAAGGCCGGAGAGGGATGATGGGGGTCAAGTATCCACTGTGCTTTGCTCAAATGTTATGAAACCTAAAATGAGGCTGTACATATTCTGTCTAAAAAATAAATTAGGTCACTGGTTAGTGTATTGCAGAGTGACAATATAAATAGCAGAGAATAGATCAGTTACAGGGAGATGATGCAAATCACATGACCTTTGCTATTTTGATCCGCAAGTGATTAAAAAACAAAACCTGTGCCAGTGTTTATTAGTGACTGTCAAGGAAATAAAATACTGTCAGACAAGATGTTCCCTTTTGCTCCACCAGGTTAAATGTGCAGCAGAAGCAGCAAAGCAGGAATGTAAACAAAGATCCTGCAGTAAACTCCACATGTCTAAAAAAAAAAGATAGATTTCTCAAATTGATCCTCCTAAAAGCGAGACATATTCCAGCTGTTTAGATTCCCCTCATTTCTCCATGTGAACCTCCTGTTTGAGGTGAGAATGAGTACCTTCATTTTGCTGATCTTCTGGAGGCTCCAGCAGCTTGACAAACTCCACGTTGATGTGAAACTCCACTGCAACGATCAGAGCCACCTTCAGGAGGATGAGCTGCAACTGCTGAATGCCTGGCAGAGACAGACACACGTCCATGTTTTCATGTTTGCTTTTTCTATTACGGTTGAGAGCAAACTCTGCTTGCATGCGATACGCCTGGAATGCTGAGCAGCGCCTCCAAATAGGTGGAAAAAAGGAGAGCATGCTTCACTCAACAAGGTCAGTGAACTCATCCTTTTGGAGGGTTTCAGTAACAATAAGGATGACTTTGCTTTTCAAATGTTTACCAAGCACTTGATTTTGAGACATGGCAACCTTAATGTTTTTTCAAGTATTTCTTTGTGGGTTTTTTCAACATCTAAAGAAAGAAAATAACACTTTCACAGCCATTTAAGGTTACAGAAAGGACACTAGCAACACGTTGGCTCCAAATTTCAAATTTCAGGGATTTGCAGAAAAAGGAGGACACATAATTATCTAGTTATTGTTTTACTACTGTTTCTTTTATCATCTCCCGAGAGGTAAATAAACTTCATATATCATATTGTACAGTTTATTTTGCGAGAAAACAGTTGAATCACCGGAGCGGAGTGATTTAAAAGGCCGGTTTTGTTCCGGGGAAGTCCGATACTCACTGATGTGGTCGATGGCTCCGGCACAGAACTTTCCATAGAACTTTTTGGCCCCGAGGCCCCGCAGGTCATGGATGGTGTAGGGCCAAAGATGGAGCACGTTGTGCCTTGAAAACGAATCCCTCTTCTCAATCACCACCACCTTGGCGCCCATCAAGGCAAGCTCGATGGCGGTCCGCAAGCCACACGGGCCTCCTCCGATGATGAGGCACTGAATGGAATGACACAATATGCTGGTTATTACAAACAAAGAGCTCAGTTAAATTACGAGCACCAGGGTAACATCTTTGTCATAGAGTCAACAGAAAGCTTGTTGAAACAGAGAAGGACATTACAATTGTTTATAATGAGCTCTGGAGCATTATGCAGCGCCATACATCATGAGAAGGAGTTGTACTTTACTGCTCCACTGCTGAGACGCTTTAAAGTGTCTCATTCAGGAACACTTAAGTAAGATAAACTCCTACAATCAGTCCAGTCTGCACAAGATTGCTGATGTATGTGTGATTGTATTATTGGCAAAGCTACAATGCACCAAAAGAAAACAGTTTGCACATGCTTGGAGTGATGTATTTATTAGTAAGCTGCCTGGAGACACATAATTCAGGTGTTATTCACAAAGCAGCCTCACCAAAGAAAATGCATGAAGTCAGTTTGAGGTTTAAGTGTCTGTCTGAGCATGTGCGGTTGAAACATTACATCACCGTTCGTAATGATAGATGAAAGAGGTGACGCATGTGTGTTGGCACAGTCCTCCTTTTTCTTTCCGTTTGAAGACACTTTATGAAGAAAACTGTTCAGAGATCGGGTGCATAATTATTTTGACATTTAAACCAGAACGAAGCTTGACTGCAATGCTCAGCAGTTTTCTGTCGCAAAGACTCCAACAAATTAAGACTGAATATATTTACTTTTCATTTGCTGTTATCCAACAGATAGATGCAGCAGATAGAAACTTTGACTGCTGGCATCACATATAGTTACAAAAATATAAATAAGAAATATTTGTTCTTATTAATATCGCACATGCATCAGTTCCATGAGACAATCTGCCTGCCTGCTGCTCACTGCAATAACAAAACACGTTGAACCGTGAGACACCAGCAAAACAACCATGAAAACAACATAAACATGAAAAAAAAAAAAACCACACACATCTGTTAACTTCATAGCCCAACTTGATACATTGCTCATTTTGTCCCATCCTATCACCATTTATACATTTTAGAAAAACTATGTCATGCACTGATATTTTCTGGAGATAAATAATCAGAAAGATGTTTGCATTGTTTGACTTTAACATGTTTTTCAAGATTTTCAACTGCCTTTTCAGCAAGTTATTGCACATCTGACTCTTATGAAATATGACAGATAATTAGTCCTGACCAAACCAAAATGACTCAGAATAACCTTTAATATCAGAGTAACAAATCCATACTTCTCCAAAATAGACTTCAGGAAGGTTAGAAGAAGTTCCTTTCAATCACTTGTTGTCAATCCTGCTATGAAACAATATTAAGTTCTGTACATAAAAAAAAGATTTATTTCCAAAGCACCATTCATGCACAAGGTCACACCACGTGTTTTACAGCATAACGAATGGAAAAATGTGGAAGCAATAAATAAAAACAAGAAATATAACGGAAAACTACAAAAAGAAGAAACATTAAATAAAAAATTTCAACTAAAGCCATTTCTAAAATGTCATAAAAATGAATGCAATTTTGCAAAAAGCAACATTTTGTATCTTCTTTAGGGATTTTAAGACATGCCTTGACAACTAAGGTGTAAAATATAAATTTTCAAATATTCTATTCATGTGCTATTCTAAGGAATATTTACTAAATGTAACTCTAATGTAAAATATCTCCAGCAAGAGGTCACTCAGAGTTAATATAGAGGTGAAACATCAAATCTTTAGAATATGAGATAAAGTTAAATGAAATCATATTAGAAAGTTCAGCATTTTATAGTTATTTATCACCATAGTTTCTCATAAACCTTACAGAAGAACCAATACATTATGGAAACTTCACCGAAGTATATTTACTTTTTTCTGTGTTTTTGTGTTTTAATTTTTTGCTGTTATATTAAAATCTGTTCTTCATTGCATGCTTCTCCTGCACCAACAATCAATGTGTGTATCTGTGACGTGCTTCTCTCATTCTTCGTCATAAGCTGCCTGGGGCTGTCAGACGTGAATCGCAGAGGCAGGTGATGTGCACTCTGCCCCGACAAGTTTAAACCTACGGTTATTTCCCTGCGTAAAGCAGTGCTTAGTGCGCTGACGTGCAACCGTTGAACAGATGAGGAACAACATCATTTATAGACGCACGACAAATCCACTTTCAAAGAGCGCCCATTGTTCTCTAAACTCATGTCACTGTTTTGATTTCTCTATCAGCCATGAGCAGAAGTGTTTGTTTTTACACTTTCCACTCACTGATCAGGGTTCCCCCCCCACCGACCTCTGGTGCCACATCTGCTGAGTCAGGACACTGGTTTCCTCTCAGCCGTCTCCACCTGTGACCCCCCTCTCCACCCACCGCCGCCTCAGCCCGACATTCATCAAACCCAGTCAGACAGCCTGTGAACAAACTGTCAGGTTGATCGGAGTACACTGGAAGATGGACAAATCATGCATTGTCATCATGCACTAGGCATGAGAGAGGAGTTTTGTTGGTAAATTACGCTCACAGCTGATAACAGCTGTGACACCTCTGACGAAGATGGAAGCACTTCAAAACATGTCAGGTATGTCTGAAGAGATATAGAATAGCTGAGTGTCTCATAATAAAAATATCTTTAAGATTGTCTCACGTTTAGACACAATGAGTTTTTATCGAAAGCAAGCTGCCAACTAGAGATCTGATGAGGTGCACTGAGGCTGACTTACAGCGCGATTTATATGAGAAGACAGATTTTGTTGTACACAGTAAAACTTAACGAGACGGATGCTCGGCCTCCGCTACCATCTGTGTTAGGCCATAAAAATCCTGACATCACATCCTGTAAAAAAGACTCGGCAATATGAAGGAAAAGCCCTGAGTGAAATCACATCTGTCACTGATGGAGAACAGAACCGACAGGAAAACTGAAGGATTTGTTCACCCAGTGGTTGAAGGTGAAGATGTGAAAGGAGATAGCTGCCTTTGTGAGCAGTAAAAACACACCGCGCATGTAAGCAGTTCATTAAAATCGAAAGCATTTTGCTTTATCAGGAAAAATTCTTTGTCAAGTCAGAAATACAAAATAAGAAACTCCAATGCACTTGTCTTTTTTATGATGTTGCCTAAGATATTCTCAACCTTAAAAGACAATTAAGCAGAATGTAAAACATTTTAATAATAGCCACATCCAAACGTTCAGGAAAAGCAAAAAGGTGGCCAAACGGAGTATAAATGGGGCCAAATAATCAGAGTTGCTGACTGATGCTGTCTCTTCCTCTGTGCAATAAAAATTGTGCTGAATCTGAGCACAGCTGACAGGTGAACATCGTCTCTGGGTTTCGACTTTCTCTCATCACCTTTTTTGTGTCTCCTCCTGCTACACCACCACAAATATCCTCTGCACAGTACACACGTATCCCGTTGTGGAAACATTTCTTCATTAAGAAATTAAGATATTAAGATAGGAGGATGTAAGGAAAGAAAGAAGGGCAGTAGGACATAAGGGACAAAGGAAAAGGACAGAATGAAGCAAGGGAAGAACAAAGGAAGAGCATGACACAAGAAATAATAAAAATGAAAGGAGGGAAGTAAGGAAGGACATAAAGTGGGAAACAGGAGAAAAAAACAAAACAAAAAATACAACAAACAAAAGTCATAAGGAAAGATCCAATGGAGGACACAATGAAGGAAGCATGGAGATAAGGAAATAAGACGCTACAAAAAAGGAAGAGGAAGGCGCAAGAAAATAACAAAAGACAGGGAAAAGAAGAAAGGAAGGAAAGACACAAGAAAAATAAAGAAGGACAGAGTGAAGGAAAAAGAGAATGACATGGAAAGAAGGACAGAACACCTAGATAATGTTCTACATTACAACACTTGGAAAATCCTGAAATCAAACCCCATCCTTTTCCAGAAGTATAGGAGCCATGAATAAAATATAAATCTACTGGGGTAAATAAAGATTAAACAATTGAGCCTGGGTTAGCTGTCCCACACTTAACTTTAACAGGATGTCAGAGTCACACTTATGTCCAGTGAAAGCAAATCATGTGAGATGAAACAACAAGACACTTCCTGAATCCTAGAACTTTAATGTTGTATAAAGCAAACTTTTAAGCTGGACCTTTCACCAGTGTGGTTTCAGGCCTGCCAGCAACATAGTTAACCTGATGGGTGTGTTTTAATATTCTTGGAAAGACTCTCCTGCTCAGGTTGCTAATCTCAACTCTTCTGGGCTGTGGGTAAATTAATAACTCTGCATCTGCTCCCTTAAAACAACGATCACCTTAAAAAGTAAAGCAAGCGTAATAAATAAACTTAACCACGACACATGTAGTTGCTGAACTGATTGACTTTCATACCAACGTCAAAAATGCTGACAATAAAATTAAATATCCTGTTAAGAAATATTTCCGTCTGCATTTTTATCTTTATTGCACAGGTGTACAGAACCACATGGGAAATGTGAAGCTACAGATGAATAAAATGCAACAGTCCAGTCTGCCTGCAGTGAAGACAGGAAAGCATTTTTCTACTGAAAACATGTAGCTTTGGGCTTGCAGCAGTAAATCAATTGGATATTTTGGACAGCAGCCAAACAAAAGGCCCAGCTTCTAAAATGTCACCAGGCAGAATATGAATAGAAAAAACATAATTAACCTAGCTTTATAATAAAGTTACACCAGTTTTTAAACTTAACGCCTTGTTTCATTACATTTACACTGAGCCAAATGCAAATGCTTTCCTGCTGTTTGCAGGAAAAGATCCCTTCTCAGATGTGAGGTGAATTTACCGTCCTTTATCTTTAACAACATTTCTACATAACACAGTCATTAATATTTGCTTCGCTAAGCTAACTGTATGAACTGTAGGTGTTAATGAGAGCCAGCTAACCAACTTAATCAGCATGTTGATTTGCTGTACCTGAGTCACACCAGATCCACACCAAGATGTATTCAGCCTCTTGATTTGCAGCTATGCACATCAATGTTGGCCAGTTTTGCAGAAGAGGCATTGTTAAAAAAAAGTGGCGAAAAAGCTCAAGCATCAAAAAGTGGAATGATGTGAAAATACATGCTTTACGTCTGGCTGAAACCTAAGTGAAAATTATTTCCAGTTGTGGATAATTTGCTATTTACTGGTTATTGATCACAGTAGATCTTAGCCTAAATGTCTGATACTACCAGTCACTGCTCCATGAAAGCTGATATGGATGAAAAGACAAGAGAAAACATGTCTCTAAGTGCATGTATTTATCTTCTGTCATTATTACCCTGTTCTACGCCTCCATCATGTTTGACATTACTTTTTCTTAAAGATGAAGGGAAATAGTTAAACTCACCTTTGTCCCCATACAAGCTTGACCTTTCTTGTACTCTTTGTGGGATATCCTTTTGTCTAACTTGCTCCAAAGTGCTTTGGCCTTCCAAGAGGTGACCTTTGCCTTCAGGCTGCAGTAGAAAGTGTTGTGGTTCGCCGGGTCAAGGTCCAAACGTCTGCAGAGGACGTTAAAGGCCTGCAGAGTCCCTTTACAGGTGGAGGCCTGGATAAAGTTCTCAAACAACTTCCCGACATTGTCGCTCTCCTCCTCCATCTTTCCCATCTTCCCCTCTGCAGCAGATGTCTTGGTGTGCTGAGGCTCCTGCTCCGCGTCGCTCAGCTCGCTCTGCCAGATGTGGCTACACCCTCGGCTTGGCCCGCACCGTCATGCCCATTCTGGGGAGGCAAGACACATAGCAGTGATGTCATCCGACGGCAAAGAGTCCAACAGATGGCTTTCAGTAACTTGTGTTTTTCCATTTTCTACTTTTAGCCAAAAGATCTATTTACATGACTTTAAACGGATAATAGATTTGAATTATGAAGCAGTTTGACTGCTTTTTGTTAGGAAAACATTCCTTTACCAATTATCTCAGGCAGGAGGCATTCTGAGACGTGGTAATCTTACACCCACATATGCAAGATAACACTTCAAGTACTGACAAGGTTGAAAAAATATATGCAGTTCCAGTACGCAGCAAAGCAGAGTGACCCTGTGATTGAACGTCAGGCAGCTGCTGACAATATTTCGAACTTTTGCTTTACAGACACAACTACGGGATCCTGATTTAACCTTACTAGCTCAAAAAATGTGACTGTTTCACAACCTCAAGACTCAAGAAATGTGCATATCATATGGACAACATCTTTTAATGGTGATACCAGAAGTCCTATTACTTCAATAAATCCAAATCCTATGTGTATGTCTTGCAAGAAATGTGTCTATATGCAAAAACTTGTGGTCCTAATCACTTAACCTTTCAAAGTTGTTTTTTTACAATTTTCTTTGGACTTTGGCTGCTTTTTATTCTAAATATCTGTCCATGGCAGCATTTTGTGTAGTGTGTCCTTAAGCTGAACAAAATTAGATTGTTTTTGGAAGATTCCACTGTTTTCCAGCTCTTCCCCACAAACAAAGACCATTAACAAAAACATTGTTTATGTAACTAGGGGAGTCTGAATTTACATTGAATGACCATATTTGGCTATGTTGGCTTTTCTAAGGACTGTTAATGGGATCAAATATCATAATCTAGAGCTCATGAGCTTTAAGGAAGTATTTTTTGTCTAAGCTTTGTTGAAAGGAATCTCTATATTTACAAAGTTTACTCTTTAGATATCATTTTCGTCTTTCTTAAAAGATTCATGTTTCCCTTGATGATAAATATACATATGTGATCAATACATCTTTAGCATTTATTTTATTCTCTCTTAATGTACCAGAAAGTATTGGCTATTGTTTCATAATAAGAATATTTTATTTCTAGGTCTGGTTAGTGGTTCAAATCTCTGTGCAACTACTTTTAATGGAAACTCATGCAAACAAAAACAGATAGATGATTATTTATACAGGCCTAATACTATAGCGTGCACTGAAGCACGTGTGCTTACATGTGTGCCTGAATGTGAAAACTGTTGTTTCTAAAAGCACGCACTCACATCAGACTGAAGCTGAACTGACACAATTAAAGCCCCGTTCCTCCAATCAACCATCAAGCAGGTCAAAATCTGTGCCAGAAACTGGTGCCAGAGGTTGACATCAAAGCACAATGTTGAAAGTTTCAGCACAAGGCCCGAGTGTGCCGACATGGGTGGAGACCACAGCTTCTGTGAGCTTTGGGGGAAGCCTGGCTTTGAAATTTTAATGTCATGCAGAGTGGGACGGGTGTGGTTAGACAAGAAGTCGTAGGGGCTGTGCAGGGTCTAAACACCCACCCACCCACTGTATTCCACTGATACTGTCACGCCACAATCCCAGGCGGCGAAGTGGCGCAAAGTTGCTCATGTAGATAGTACCAAACAGAGGTGACCATTCAGTAATGACTCACATATTTCTAATTATGTCTCCATGCCACGAGGGTTTGAACCTCGTTCCAACAGCAACATTTCTCTCCAGGCTAAAGTTAGCCTTTTAATTTGTACAGAATCCTGTTTGACCACGTGTCTGCATCCTGTTTTTGACTCTCTTGCTTTAGAGAAATACTTAAAGTGAGGCAGGAGATTCATGCAACCCACAGAAATGCTCTATATGCATTTTGGACCGCTGTAATATCCTGTCAGCATATCCTATAGAGGCCCTGATGACAATCATCCAGCCTTTAGTGGGCTGGCATTCCTTTGCCACGTGGCTGCAGAGGCTCTGCAGTCGTCCATCATCATCCTTTTAGAACAAACTCTTGGTCCTTTCATTGGCTCCACTAGGCAGCCGGTTACGGGATGCGACCATGATTTCTTGGAAATGTTCTGGTTTGTCATCAAATACAAAGATACGACAAAGACTCACATGTTGTAATGCATAACTGGATGTGTAATCTGACAGTAATCAAAAAGCTCTTGCATTTCTGCAGCATTTTAGAACTTTATGAAGACTTTATGTTTTATCTCCTTTTCACAATAAGCCCCTTTGTTTTTCTTTTCTCACTTTTTCTCAGATTTTTGCTTTTATTTTTGCTTTGAGCTTTCTAAGAAAAGTTTTTGGTGATCTAAGTTTATTTCACATTTGGCCAAGTTAAAATGTGAAAATCTTAAGCGAAATGCTTAATACACTTATGTTGTCACGTTTCAAAATAAAGAGGTAAAGCGCCGCAACAATTAAAAGCATCTGTTGTGCGATTTTGGCGACACTACTGAAACAAATGCTTAAAATGTCATTAGATAAGTTGATCCTCAGCACTGAAACTACCCTGCCTCTGACACATGGACTTCACCAACTCGGTCTGACAGAATGGAAAAGCGACTTGTGGGCAGACAGAAGGAGGATCCCTCAGAGTGGCTGTAAAAATGCAACCGAGAGAAACGGAAAGATTACCCTCAGCCGAGGCAGATAATGGTGGAGAGGATCACAGAGTTTATTACGATGTTGGTTTACATTTCCTTTCTGTCCAGTAAATGATGTGATTAAGTGAAACCAGCTGTGGATAAGAGAGAAAAGTAATGGGGAGTGATTCAGTTCCTATCACAGGGATGCATTCATTCACAAACTGCTGATTCTACGATTCTAATCACGAATGCACCTTTACTGCGTTTGGACACACTCCCTAATATAATGATCGTTTTTTCATTGTTCAGAACAGAATCAAGAGAGAGGCATGCTGTAACAAGGTATCTGTAACAAGGTATCTGTTTGTAGTTTGATAACGAAGGAATGGTATGAATGTAAAGTATGTAACTGCGACAGTACACATTGAGAGAAAACTAAACCGAGGCGGTTTCATATTCACTATTTGTTTTTACTGGAAAACATCCAGCACTTGCATTTTCTATTTACTAACTCCAAATCTTTCAACAAGACGTCTACCGCTGACCAACAACAAGCGTCTTTCCCATTTGTCCATTTAAAGACACACACAAAAATTCAGCACTCAGCACAATTTTATTGTAAATGTGGAGAGGAGAGGAAGGCAAAGTTTAAGTTTTATCAAGATCTGGCTGCACAAGCAAAATTGGATTGGGCAAATCCTTTTACTGTTTGCTTTTTCACTGGGTTCATTGACCATAGTTAAGAGTTGTCTATTTTATTTATAGATTTAACAGATTCAAGCATCATTAAAATGACTCATCGGGGATGTGGTCCTGACATATCCTCTGTCGGGATGGACTCAAGTTTTTGCTGCTTGAAACCTAACGCTGCATCACTATCAGACAACGGAGTAACGTAGTTACTCCTCTGAAATATTTTCAGCCACAAAAGCAAACTGTGAAAAGAAGGGGCCATTTTAAAGGGAACACTGAGCTCATGAGGAATGGGGCAAAGAAAGACAAATTTATGACACCACAGGATCAAATAAAGTGCCTGAATTTCAAGGGGATGCGTCATTCACTTCAAATGACCACAGTAAACCCTCGGTGTTGGTCATCAGGGCCCTTCATCCAGCATCTTATTCATTTCATGCTGCAGTACAGAGAGTCTAAATGGATGTGTCCTTGATTCAAAGAGCATCAGGTGTGTTAGAGCAAACGGGATACTGAGCTAATTTGCCTCTTAGTGGGGAAACATTGATAAACTTCAGATAACTAAAACAGTAACAGTCCAAAATGACAATTTTCCATTCATAATTTGCAGACTGATGATGTGCAGGACAAATCCTGAAAAATGTGTCTTTTTTTCACACACAAAAAAAAACCTATCGGTGATTCACAAGGTTATAATTTATTGTCATGATGTCCTAGACTGTTTCACAACTGAAACTTTGTCTTCTACATTCTGCAAAAATATTGTACACACTTTGAAGTGGGGGAGAGTTAAGCCTTTGTTTCCACAGAGTACACTGCTGCAGACGGAATCAAAAACACTACACGGTGAGAAACGGGAAACACTGCTGGGAAATTCACATATACAGTAGAGCAAGCAGCCAGCAACAGTAATTAGAGGTTGAGCTGAAGAAAACCAGGAAGGAACCCTCCGCAGGCCTGATAAGCAAGCAGAAACATTTTTGCTCGTGTACTGTTGAGCCTGTAGGGCCGAACCCTGCACCAGGCCTCCCAAGCTCCTCTTTATTATCTCAGCTCGCTAAAATCTGGCTGCGTGTCCAGGCAGCTGTGCCAAAACAAAAGAAGACTGTGTCCTGATAACGGTAGTTCACCGAAAGATAAAAGTAAATGTCAGTCAACTTCAGAAGGACTTCAAAGGTAAAGAAGAAGAAAAAAAGAAAAACAGACACAAAATGTTCATTTTAACTAAAACAGGAGCAAGAATGTGGAGCTTTCTGTCTGCAGGCTCACCTGACACACAAGGTGTGTTCAGCACATGGTTCTTTGCGCAATAACTCACAGAGATTAGTTATAGATGACGGCCTTTTATCCACATCGCAGAAAGGCGCAAAGGAGGTTTAATAGTATTATTTCTCAGCGGGAAAATCTGCCCAGCCACGCTCAGAATAGAGAAGTTTCATGTTTCAGAAAGAAAAAATAAAAATCGCATGACCGGAAAATAAAACAAGCACAAGCAACTCTTTGTTTCTCACACAAATATTCAACATCCACCTGCTCTGAAGGCACCAGAAAAAGCTCGACTGAGACTTTTCTCTTCAACAGGACCAAACGTTCAACATAATTTCACCGCCACATTGAGCCGAGTGTGAAACCGGAGCTATTCTGGTCGGAAAATTAAATCACGGTGATGCAACACTGCAGGGTGGTGAGCTCCCTCATTTTCGGACACTTCATTCCCAGGCTTT